CTTCATCCCGTTTGTCATGTAAGTCCTATAAACCCTTTTCTCAACCTATTTTAAGAATCAAGAATTGATTCATGAAACCCTAATTTTTCTTTAAACCTTTCTTTTTCACCCAAAACCTGCAACTATGTCGTCTTCCGAGTTTGGAAATTCCCAAACACACAACACAACCCTAAAAACCTAGAGGAAACCAGTCAAAATTTGGTTCCTCTTCCAATCAAACCCAATAACCATGCCCTCCACCTCTCTCTTGAAAATTTTGACCAAAAATTCCACCCAATCATAAACATCCTCCAAAACCACTTTCTAAAACCCTGCTTTGACAAACACGGATGACCTCGTACCTGAAAGGTACATCCAGGAATTCTGGCAATCTTGCGCCATTACTGACTCTCAAAGAGGAATTGTTGGAGATTTCTATGTTTCATCTTCAAAGGAATTCGTAACTGTCCGAATATCAAGGTCTCTATTTTCCCGCGTTCTTGAGATACCCACCAAAACAGATGTAGGGCTTGATGGATACGCCCCTCTCCTATCTGGGGATGAGATCGTGGCCTTTTTGAAATGTCTTGGGTTACAACAAGGCAATCGAGTACCCGTCACAATATCGTCGCCAATACCTACCTCCAATGTGGAATACACTGTTCACATTGGTCAACAGATCGCTGACAGGGAAGATTAGGGGCCTCGACATGTGCTCCACGAAGAGCCTTCAAATCTTGTACGACATCTTCTTCGATCTATCTCTGGATTACTCCTTGATACTCTACACAGAGCTCAAGGCTGCCGTGGGCAAGAAATGTCAAGAGGTTGCCAAAGGGAGGCAATTGTCATCTCTGCTGTTTCCGCGCTTCTTGGGTCTTCTCCTAGGGCCTGCTCTAGATGACAACAATATCGATCTGGGTCGTCTGCCCGCACACAAAGTGAACGTGCTCACTCACTACAGGCCAACAATCAACAAAGAGGGATACGCAGCAGAAAGGCCCATTCCAAAGAAGCTTAATGCGTATATGAAGACGAAGGAGATTAGGAGAGCGTACAGACGTACACGCGAGACACTAGAACTAGGTTCTCGAACCCCGGTACGTATAGGAACAGCCGAAGAGGAAGAAAGAATAGAGAACACCTTAAGACCTCAAGTAGAGGAAGAGGCGGTGAGAGTAGAGAAAGAGAGGGAGAAACAAAGAAAACACGAGGAGGCGAAGAAAAAGAAAATAGAGAGGAAGAGGAAGAAAAAGGAAGAAGCAGAGAGAGCAGAGCAAGAGAGATTGGTTGAACTTGGTCATGTACGAGCAGAGGAAGAGCGAGTAGAAAAAGCTCAACAGGCAGAGATTGCTCGTCTAAGGGAAGAGGCCAGACTCAGAGCAGAGGAAGAAGCTTGTTGAAACTTGGCCCAATCCTCTAGTCCTAACCACGGGGATGACCAAGAACATTTCGATGATGCTGCTAGGTCTTACACTTCTAGTGAGGACAGCAAGGAGGAAGAAGAAGAAAGTGAGGAAACAGAAGAAGAAGAAGAAGAGAGTGAGAAGAGTCAGGACGAAGAAGAGGAAGGAGAAGAGAGAGGAGGTGCAAAAGATGGTCTACCTCAGGGCGAGCCAGAGCAGCCTAGGGTAAATAGGCACACTTGTTTTACCACCCTAACTCCCAGTGCAAACGAATCATCTGACTCCGGTGGTCGAGACATGGAGGTCATTGAAACAAAGGTGCACACCTCGTACCTCAACCAGAGGTTGCATCTGCCCTTGGTTACGACATCCAAAGAGAAGCCACACATTAGGGAACACCCTCTGAAAAGGGTGCAACCTTTGAACGTATAAGTGATATGTCTCCCCATATCACACCACTTTCCCATACAGAGGAATTCGTTTCCTCTGCATGTGTAGACTCACAACCTAGTTCAGAGCAAGGAATAGGTGCACAAGACTTAGAGACTCTCGACCAGTCTCCTAGTCCACTCATCGAGAGTCCTTTGACCGGCTCTGAACCCGCCTTGGATACTCTCCTTGATAGAACAGCGGTAGTAAATTCTTCTCAAGGAGAACCACAAGGATCCGCTGGAAGTCCTTCCCCGACCAACATCAACCAAGTCATGAATGAAGGCGTCCCAGGAACGGGGACTCAATCTGGCCTATGTGTTGAGCCAGAGGTTACACAACCAGCATATGTCACAAGGGAAGAGTTCCATTCCCTTGTCACCTCTGTGCGGTGCTCCTTGAAGAGCTAAAACTCATCATGGCTCGTGCAGAGCCGTCCCCTTCTGCATCTGCTCTTGATGAGATACAAGCATCCTTGACAGTATTGAAAGCTGAGTCTTTGAAAAATGCTTCTCGTCTCGATACATTAATGGAATTGACGGCATGAAATACAGAGGCCTTGCGAGAGGTCATAACATCCATGTAGAGGGGTGAGGCGTCCACTTCTTAAGACGCCCAGGCGATCATCCCTCTCAACGTACCTATGGACTATGTCACTTAGAGCGCAATGAATGCTCTGGGTGAAAAACTTGTATAGTAGGTGGCGAACTTCACATTCGATTTCAACAACAAAGTCACAGAAGCAGCGGAGGCCATCAAACACTCTCTGGCCACTTTCAACTACCGCTCGGACGTCGAGATTCGACGAGTTGGCTATACAGTCGAAGATCTCCTCAAAATCGTTGAGGAGAAGCTCAAGTATATGCCTCATGCAGAGGACCATAGGCCAAAAAGATGAATGGACTCCTCTCCATGTGCTGAGCTGTCGAAGAGGATAAGACTTGACGATGATGAGGACCCAGACCAGTCTGGCCCTCAAAATCGTCAAGAGGGGGAGAATTATCCAACAACCATTCCAAGTGTTACACCTACGGCTGCCCCCTCTACACCAACGTCCTCTACCCCAAGCCAACCAGCGCACGATCCTTCAAGGCGGAGGGCACAGAGCCAACTAGCGCCAGAACAAGCAGAGGCGCTCAAAAAAGGAAAGATGACCATGGCATCCCAGGCAGAGCCAGCTGGACTACAAAAGAATACAGAAGTGATAGATCTTCTATCTGTCTATGAATCATATGATTCAGACCTGGCTCTGTCTTCATCAATGGAATACGCCATGGGCACAACTGCTCCAATAAGAGGACAAGAAGAAGAGGTGGTAGCAGTGAATGTGGCTGATCCATCACTTTTGCGTATTCTTGTTGCCGTTCCACTATAAGGCATGACTGTTGCTGCTCCTCCACCATAACAACATACACACAGAGCTAGGGTCCCTGCTCAAGGGACTAGGGTAGTCACACCAGCTATGAGGCAGCGGGTCCCTGTGAAACCTACCAGAGCAGACTTAGAAGGCGCAAGCAGCAGGCCAAAATGAAAGCATCCCTCTAATCGTGTCCAAAAGATCAAGGAAAGCATGGATGTAATGTTTACGCCAACACCCCTTGATCAACCAATTAAGGACAAAGCAGACAGCGAGGATATCTACCAGTTCTTCTACAACCTACGAGAAGAGACACCGGTCCAAAAGATCAGTCTTCATCCAATGGTTCAAGAGCACATCAAGCAGAGATTCCTAGATCGCTACACTCAGCCCATCTCTGCAGTCCATTTCGTCGATGGAATCAAGCAAGTCATCAACATCAAGAAGCGTACCTTTGCACATAACCAGATTATCTTCCACGAGTATATGGTGGAGAGGTCTCGCAGACAGATCTGCAAGTTCACTGACTGTGATCTTATTAATCTGAATCCGTGGGATCTTCTTTCTCTATTTTACTTCACGGATCACAAGAAGGACAAGGGGGTCAAATACGCTGTTGCCAACTCTGCTATACACCGAACAGTGACAGACCTGCTCGACTTCAGATGCTAGTTTGATTTGCAACTAGCTCTGGATCTAGGAGTGGATCAATTGACTGTCGTTGCACCAAATGAAGATCTGCAGGGCATCAATAGCATCATCTCTTAGACTGTATTGGTGGAACCAGAAGTGGGAGTGGTGTTTTGAACCGTGCAACAAAAGAAAATCTTTTTTCGAGACAACCAGAACTACAAGTACTCTAACTCTACTTTGTGCAACATAAAAGACAATCTAGTCAGGAGTAGAGACAACTCCCCAGGAGCAAAGGAGCGAGCAAGAATTATCCTAAGGTCGATACGCAATTTGCTAGAGTTTCGTGAACTTCTTAGAAAGTTCATTAGACTTCAAAATGTTTAGACCTCTTATCTTTTGTAAGTACTTTTCTATCTTTGATTCGATGTAATTTCCATTCCAATCGTACTGTACTTCCTTAGATAGTAAATGTAATTCAGTGGTTCCTTTTAACCTCAGGCTTTGATTAGACTTTATGCTTTATAATTCAAGTAAGAGCCTGCCTTATTTACACTTAGGGGGAGATTGTTAGACCCCAACTTGTGAAAGTGTAAGTAAGAAGTCTCTTACTCTAGTCAAATAGGACTTAGTCTATTGAAGCGGTCTGGACTGAGAGCTCTCATGCAGAAGATCAAGAACCAGAGCTCTTACTCAAGAGTGAAGGTTCCATTCATACAGAGCCCACGTTCTATCCACATGGACGATCAAGCCTTGTGCGCCAAAAAGCATAAGCGCTTCACACCAAGTTACAACTCTAAGACCCAGAGCCTCTACAAGCATCTAACAGATTTGAGGCGGCTTCACCAAGTCTGCTCCGCTTTTCAAGGGAAATCAAAGATAAGGATGTAGACTAGTCAGCTCAAAGTTTCAAGCCTATTTTATAGCATAGTTTGTTAGACCTAGGCATATATAAGGAGGCTTCCTCCTCAGGTTCAAATAACCTGAAGGAACCGACTTATACTATACGCAAATTCTGTAAGATTACGTTTTGCTTTGATTGTTCTTCAACTATATCAATAAAAGCATTCGACATATTCAAGTCATTCAATTGTTTTTATTTTCACTTTGAATATTTCGGTTAATCATTCTTGATACACTGTTAATCGTTCATTCTTATTATTTATACTGTGTTTTCAACAAATTAAGAGTATCTGGGTTCAACAAGGTGGAACATCATCTCCATTAGAGTGTGGAGGTCCATCGATTGGAGTTGAATTCCCAAAGGAATGAGATTCCAACCACTTGTTGAGCTCAAGATCATCACTTTGGAATGATGATGTTGCAAGCACCGATCCAGATTCATCAAAATCTGACATTGACAGATTCATCAATGCACTAATGACGCATGTTGTACACCCGGTAGGCTTTAGAGAAAAGAGAGTAACCAACAAAGATTCCTTCATCGGATTTAGGATCAAACTTTCCTAATTGATCTCTGTCATTCAGAATATAGCATGCACTACCAAACACATGAAGGAAGCTGATGTTAGGTTTTCTACCATGAAATACTTCATAAGCAGTCTTATTGTGTCTTTTCACAATTATAGACCTATTTTGAGTAAAGCAAGCTGTATTGACAACTTCTGCCCAAAAATAGGTCGAAAGACTTGCTTGACTTAGCATTGAACGTGCAGCTTCACATAGTGTACGATTTCTCCTTTCAACAACTCCATTATGCTGTGGAGTCCGAACTGCCGAGAAATTTTGAGAAATACCCTTGTCATCAAATAAGCGTTCAAGAATACTGTTTATGAATTCAGTGTCGTTTTCACTTCGAATTGATCTGACAAGTTGACCATTCAAGACTTCAGTCCGCTTCACAAAGTTGATAATTTMTTCAGCTGCATCACTCTTGTGTTGAAGAAAGAAGACCCAGGTATATCTTGAGTACTCATCCACAATAACAAGAGTATAGAGTTTTCCACCAAAACTTTGAACACTCACAGGACCACAAAGATCCATATGGAGCATGTGCGAAGGAGTAGAAATAGAAGAGCACATCTTGCACTTGAAGCTTGCTTTGGTTTGCTTGCTTATTTCACAAGTAGCACACAGCTTCACGTTGACATATAACATCTTCGGAAGTCCAATAACCAGATCTTTACTAGAAAGATTGTTGATGGTTTTGAAGTTGAGATGGGACAACCTTTTATGCCAAAGCCAATTTTGATCAGCAGTAGCCTCATAGTAGAAATAGATGTTGGCGTCAGAAGAGTTAGAAGAGTCTATGTTGATCACATAGACATTATCCTTTCGGATACCAGTTATTACCTTCTTTTCAGAATAATCAAGAATGGTACACTGCTTTTCTTCAAATTTTACAATGAAGTTAAGATCACATAGTTGACTGATGCTTAACAGATTGTGCTTCAGTCCATCCACATAGGCTACTCGGTTGAAGGTAACCGAGCCGTTAGAAAGAACACAATATCCTTTAGTTGTACCTCTGGCGTTATCTCCAAAGGTTACAAAAGGACCAGGTTCAGACACATAGTTGATCAACAAGGACTTATTTCCAGTCATGTGTCTGGAACATCCACTGTCCAAGTACCATATCTGTCGGTGTCCTAAGCCCTACAAACACAAATAAATCAGTTTGTAGGTACCCATTGTACAATGGGTCCATTGGGGTTAGGAGTATTTTTTTCTTTCTCTTCTCTCATTGGCCTAGCGATTCTTTCCTTGGGACAGTTCTTGGCGATGTGAAAAGTGTCACCACAGTTATAACATTTTTGATAAATAAACACAACCTTAATAGAAATTAAAGGTGTGTGCTTAACTGTGTTAACATGCTTTTTGGATTTTTTTTTAAAGAAGAAGAAGCTTTGGAAGGAGGGACAGAGGATGAATGAAGAGGGTTTTGGACCAAGAATCCCTTTTTCAGACTCAGGGATAGGTTTCTTAGAAGAGGTAGAAATCTTGGAAGTCTTTTTCAAGGAAACTAGTCTAGGAACGAACTCAGTAATAGAAGATACTAACGTACCAGTCTAAGAAACAACAACTGACTGGGATGAGGTAGCCGAAGGCCTATGTTTCATCTTCAGTTTGGATTTTGGCTTCTTATTCTTGATAGGCTTGTCCACAGACTTGCCTTTTTCAGCAGCCGAGAAACGACGATTCAAAGGATGATTTAGATGCTCAGATGTTTCAGATTTAGATGAGTATGCTTCAAGAGATTCCTTAAGAGAGAGAGAGAGAGAGAGTTAAACACAGTGGACAGGAACATTCTCAGATTTAGAGTTTGGATTGTTAGCTTTGACAAAAATTCCGAACTTAAGAGATTTTCCATTATCATTAGATCTTGGAGAAAGAGATCCAACAAAATCAGATAAGTGTGATGAAGAGGAGGAAGAAATAATGTGAGAAGAAATGCACATAGAGTCACCAGGAGCACACAAATCCAAATCATCATAACCTAGGCCAGTCTTTACTTCAATAGGAAGTTGATCATGTAAAATTTTATCTAGGTTCTTGGATGATCTAGCCCATTTTTGAAGAATGGCTTTTTCTTTCTCCAGCTTCTCAAAGACCTTAGTTTTTTCTTTGTTAAGAACATTGTTTATTAATTTTTGTTCTTTAAGGTCATTTTTCAATTTATCAAAGTCTTTCAGTTGATTCATACATTTATGTAACTGACTAGTTAGAATTTTGATTTCAAGGTCAGCTTTCTTCTTAGCAGATCTAGCATTGTAAAGATCAACAGATAAAGAATCATAAGCTTGAACCTTTTTAGATTCAGAGAGAAGAGAAGTTGTTTACCTTTTTTGGTTTGACCAGATCTTTGGTATCCTTGGATGTAGAAGGTGCATCAGCAGCAGCAGTAGAGGAGGATCCCTTGATAGAGTCTTCTATCTCCTGAATTTTGGCGATAAGACACAGGCGTGCCATGTCCTCTTCACTGGAGGAAGAGGTTGGCTCATCAATCCAATCATGATTCTCATCGATGAGACCCTTACGTTTTCTCTAAAGGCTCTGGTTCTTTGCCTTTTCTCATTTGTACTTTTCTTTGTACTTATTGTGAGAGGATCTGCTAGAGGGATGAGAAGGATGACGCTTAGAGATTCGTTTGCTTTTGCACTCAGCAGCAAAATGACCTTTCTTGCCACAGTTGAAGCACTCCTCATTGGACAGATCAGGACGAGTTGACTTAGGTTGATCTAAGGTTCTACGGTCGGTGACCTTAGATCTGAGAGAGAAGTTAGAAGAACCCTTTTTGGCATACCTTTTGAAGTTGGTAGCCATCATGGCCATGTTGTCAGCTAAGTCATTAACTAAGGGTTCATCACCCTCATCATCAGCATCATCAGCATGGCTTTCAGCAAGTTCTTCTTTTCTGACAGCATCTTCTTTAGTGTTAGTCAGATAAGTGATACGAGGTTCACTGACTGGCTTCCTCGTATTGTTGTAGAGAAGAGCAACAGGAGAAGTAGTTATAGGATCCTTCAGTAATGCCTTATTTAGAAGCTTGGTTTGCTCATAATTATGGAGAGTTCCATAAAAAGAAGTAAGAGGCATATTTTCAAGATCTTTACTTGTCTTGATAAAAGTACAAATGTTTTTGCAGAAGTTTGGTAAACAGTCCATGAACTTGCACATGATTTCTTCATTTTCATAGACTCTACCATGAAACTTCTGATCATTGAGAAGGTTGTTAAATGTGTTGTAGTACTCAGTGAAAGATTCACCTTTCTCATGCACAAAAAGCTCATATTGCCTAACAAGGCCAATCTTCTTGCTTTTCTTTACTTCGATGGTTCCTTAATACATAACACATAGAGTGTTCCACATGTCCTTGACAGTAGAGAGGTTTACCTAGGAGTGGAAGACATCATCAGGAAGAGAGTGGGAAATGTATCCAAGGAAACTTTTCTTTTGTCATCTTCATTGTATTGAGAAGGATCTTTGATGACGAACCTTCTAGTAGAATCTGATTTCTCTTCATCATCATCATAATCATTTGAAGAGTTACCTTCGTCTTTGTTCTTTCCATGACGAAGCCATACTTTAGGAATAATGGGTCCATCCTTGAGGATAGAGAGACATTGACTATCAACACCCTCAAGGTAGAGTGTCAAGCGACTTTTCCACATAGAAACGTTGTTCTAGTTAAACTTGGGAGGCTTGGCAATAGTGCCATTGTCTTGGTAAGAAGAAGGAGCGGAGTTGGAAGAAGAAGAAGAAGAGGCCATTGCAGATTTAGCTTATGAGATTAAGCTAACTATTCTGATACCACTTGTTAGTCCCGAAAGGGATGGCAATAAACAGAAAGTAATTGTTGAAGGGGGTTTGAATACAATTACACAGACTTTTTTCAACTATTTAATTATTATTGATTTATATCAAGAATTAACACACATAGATACAAAAGATTGTTGCACAAGATAGGAAAGGAAAACCTTACCTAAACAATCTTACAAGGAGAAGTACTTACAAGAACAACACAAAGAGTTCTTGAAATGAAATGAAGAACACTAAGAATTTTTTCGCACACAGGAGAGCAAGGGTGTAGAAGAGAATAGCCGATTGCTTTAAGAATTCACTAAGTAATCTTTCAAAAGCTAGTGCTTTGCATGGGAGATGCACACTACCTTTTATACTACCTTCAACATTTAATGCATGGAGACACTTGTCACCTGAAGATAAGAAGTCAGGGGTTGACTTGACCATTGTTGATATCTCATTTTCATCGTACACAGCGTGCATACAATACTGTTTTTGTAGAGACAAACTTTCACAGAGATATGGTCAGTCTTTAGGAAGATCTGTTAGGAATGAAATTCTATGTAAAATTGTATTCGTCTTGAAAGATAAAATTGTCTAAAATTGTAAAACTCATCGTGTTTGACTTTTCTTAGATAGGTTTAACTTTGACTTTTGTTTAGAAGTTTGACCCTATAAATAGGGTGATGTCTTTGTAAATTTAAAAGAGAGAACTTATTGTAATATTTCATAATACGTATAGAGAGTTTGACCAGAGCAATTGAATGTTGACTTTCTTTCTCAAAGTTCATCTCTTATGTTCTTGAAGATATATCTTAGATCTGCCATTGTTATGAAGATATATTGAAGATTGATCATAAAGTGGACTATCAATTGGTATCAAGAGCAGACTGCAGCAGTTTCGATTAGAGGTTTAAACGATTTTGCACATTTTTTCACGATTTTTAGAGGATTGATTGATCAGGGTTTGAATATTCATAATCTGTTCATAGTGTTCTTCGTCAAGAATCTGTATTTTGAGCTTATTTTGGTTGATTTTTGATTGTTAATTGAAAATTTTTGCATCGCTAAATTCGCATCTGTATTTCAAACAACTTTGATTCACACTGTTTTTGATTTTAAACAAGTTTTGAACCCGATTTAATCGATTTTTGAGTTTTCGTATTCTGGTGAATGTTCTTCAAAACTCATATTTTTTCATGTTTTGATACAAATTTTTGGTAAAAGTGTGAAATTTTGTGTGGTTGAATGTTAGTCCGCTTAACTCTTGATCGATTTAGGGTGTTATCCGCTTAAAACTTGTGCGATTTAACGTCCGTGTGTTATTGAGTTGTTTCTTATAGGTTTATCCGGGAAAGACTTGTGCGGATAATCAAGCGATTTAAATAGTCCGTCTGATAAATCGTTGATATCTGGAGCGGATTATTGAGCGATTTAACTAAACTGACTGGTAAGTCGTTGGTAACTTGTGTGGATTATTGGGCGATTTACACAATCCGATGGGTAAGTCGTTTTAGACTTGTGCGATTTGTTGAGCCATTTAAAGAATCCGCTTGGTAAGACTTAGTTCATTTGTCTATTGTGCGATTTATCTCTTGATCGTACATTGTCATTGATGTTGAACGAATTTTGACTTATGATTGATTTAAATCTTTGACTATTGATCGATTTGTTTTAAAAGGACTTATTCGTACTTTGACTTGTTGACTTTTTACGTCCGATTTTCATTTTGGAATTTTGACTAAGTGTTGAAAACATCCGATTTGAGAATTTTAATTCAAATTGACTTTTGTGCCTTGTCCGTATTAAATTTTGCTTAATCCGCATGATTTTGTGCGATTTATATTTCTTTGTTGTCCGGACTTCTAATACGGATAACTTGTTTGAAAAAGTCTATCTTTGTTATCCGGACTTTCAATCCGAATAAGCTTGACCGGATTCCTAATCCGGGTAAGTATATGTGCTAAATTTCTCTAAGTGTTGAATGTGTGCAAAATTTTGTTTAGAGATTATCAGATATATTTTCATAAACTGATCATTTAATTCGAACTTTGAACTGCAGTTGATCCTATTTCATACAAACTGATAATATGAGTTCACGAGAAGCAATGGCTATTGGTACTGATACCAAGCCACCTGTTCTGTTTCGCGGAGATTATAATCAGTGGAGAGATAGATTTCTGAATTTCATTGAGAGAATGAAAGAAGGAGATCTGATTATGCAATCTTTGCTGGAAGGTCCTGCTGTGTTCTTACTGGAGGTATCTGCTACTCTAGTAGAAGGCATACCTGCTCAGAAAGTAATCAAACAAAAGCATCAATATTCAACTGAAGAAAAAGACAAAGCCCATGCTGATGTGCTTTGCAAGACTTATATGATGCAGGCACTGACTAATGATATTTACACTAGTATTGACAGTTATAAATCATCAGATCACAGCATGTGGGTTCAAATTGAAAAGATGAAGATGGGTTCGAAAGTGGGAACTCAGCTAAAGATTACTAACTGTATTTCAGCATCTGAAGAGTTCAAGGCTAAAGAAGGTGAAAGTCTTCATGTTGTTTATTATAGGCTTGCCATACTGCTTAATGAGCTGACAAAGAATGGAATTTCTAAAACTACAATAGAGATAAATGTTAAGTTTCTTAACAATCTTCAATCAGAGTGGAAACCATTTGCTCATCATATCAGATTCAATAAGCAGTTATCTAATATCGATATTCATGAGATCTATGAAACTCTGAAACAGAATGAGCAAGATGTTTTGGAAATCTGAAATGCAAAGAAGAAAGAGAAAGAACTTGATGATCCTTTGGCTCTTGTATCTGAGAGAAAGGAGAAGAAACTAAAAAGTATATCTGGAAAACAAGTCAAAGAAGTTAGCCAGTCAAGTGAATCTGAAAGAGAAAACAGTAACAACTCAGATTCAGATTTTGAAATGTCAGAGATCAGATAGGCAATGGCAATGCTGACTAAAGCATTCCAGAAGAAATTCTCAAAAAGGCCACACTCGAACAACCAGAGATTCTCGTCGAGTTCAAAATATGAATTCAAAGATAAATTTGGCGAAAAGAAGAAATATGAAGAAAAGAGGTTCGAGAAGAAGTATGAGGAAAAGCCGGAAGAGAAGAAGAAGTTTAGCAAAGGTATAGCTGATGAGAACACTAAGTTTGGCAAAGATAATAAAGCCGTGCTTTACCGAGTGTGGGTTCTAAACACTCAGTTTAGAACTCGTGCTTAAAATGTTTCAATTCTTTTTTATTCTTTTGATCTTAACTGATTCATTACTTAAATTTGTTTTCTAGGGGGAGTCTCTAGAAATTTTCAATAAATGTTTTTGGAAAATGATTTTTTTTGGTAACGAGTACATTTTTCTGAACAGGTATTTCCTGAGATTTTACTTGCGTAATTTCTCATCATACATAACTCCAATACCTGTTTCAGCTATTCTTCAAACTGTTATTATCACGTCTCTTATACGAAAATCATTTTCGGTGATAATACACTTGTTTGTATTCAAAGTTTGTTTTATGATATTTTTTTTACATTCATACTTATACATTTGATAATTTTTTTTTAATATCACAATCTGTAAACTTGTTCTTACAGATCTTCATTCATTTCTCTCATATATATTGAATAATCTAATTGTTGTCGCATCATTCTTTCGTTAATTGTGCTTAAAGTCAAAATTTTTGATCAATTTTTTATCTGATCATTGTGCTTTAAGGAAATAATATTTTGATCAACCATTGTGATCAACTGAGAATACTATTTTAGGAGGGACTGAGTGCTTATCAAAAATACCTCTACGGAATGTCAAAACCGACAGACCTATCCAAGAGGACAACCATATCTGAGTGAGTTTAAATAAAAAAGGGTTTGTGTGCTGAGACTAAAATGAAAAAGAGAGGGGTAGTTGTTGTGAGCTAAAAGAATTGACGAGAGTTGTCAGGATTAAAAGAAAATGAAAATCCTGTTCTAAACTTCTAAAATCTGGGCATACCACATAATCTATTAGTTCTCGATTTTTTGGAGACTAATATTGAAAAAGGCAAAGCCCAGGCCAATTCTTGTCACAATCCCACCAGCTACTCATTTATCTCTCAAAAGATATGTGTTTCAATAACACTTAGGGCACGCAACTCATCATCGATCAATTTCTCATTCGGAGAAAGTTGATATTGAATCAGAATGATATATGTCCCCCCTTGAAGTCTTTTTAATCACATATTGAGTCTGATAAATTTGTGTAGTCCACACGATTTATCTTTGTGAGCCTAAACAGAAGCATTAGTTTCTTTATCTTTCTACA